GTCACAGGAATTTACTGGCCCTGCCGAGTCCAAGGTCCCCACGTCACTGATTTAGTTCCTCTGCCTCTCTGGGAGCCTGACGCGTCCAACATTTCATTCCCTGCGTTTCCTGCTCTGTCCTTTTCACCTACAGGAGGCCAGGCCTCACTCCACAGCGGCCCAGACCCAGGAGCCCTCACGTGGCTGAGCGGAGGACCGCCATTAGACCACGCAGCTGTCAGAGCCTGGCGATGGTGGGAACAGGGCGCGTGTGGGCTTCAGCCACTTACACACGTAAGCCAATGTTATTTTAAACCCCCACTGCGGGGAGTTTAAATAGACCGACACTTAAAATTATTTTTTTCTGACTTATTGGTGAGGGGAAATTACTATTTTGTTAATTACACAACACTAAGGAATTGGTGATCTTAGCTCCATAATTAAAAGTTTCCAGAGAATGTTTATCAGCGTAACAGATGCAGCCCGTGATCGTGCCGCTGCCGAGCTGCCGGCTGGAGACTAAATCTCCCAGGGCTGCTGCCTATCGATCGGGGCGAGATTTATCCCAGCCGTTCCCCAGCGCAGGCGGCGAGGCCTCTATAAAGTACCGTTAGACCCATTTAAACCGGCTTAAATATTTCCTAAAGACAGAACATCTACATCAAAAGGAAAACAGTATGTAGGAACCAGTGGCTACGAGGACAGAAACAGGAAATCAAAAGAAAAAGACCCCCCCTCCGCCCCCCAGTGCAGCTGCGGGGGGAGAGGCCCCGCGGCCGGACCTTAGAGAGCCAGGCTCCCCTCCCGTGTCTGGAGCTCGGGGGTCGCTGGGACCGGGGACCCTCTCACACAGTGACCAGTTCTCAGATGTTAGGTCACTTACTGAACCAGCACCCCACTCAGCCAGGCCCGGGCTAAGTGGGGAGGCACTGAGGCCAGGGATTTAACCCCAGGCATCTTGCAGGAAAACCAGCCTAGAACAATGCGATCCTAATTCCTAACTACCAGCCCGCAGGCGGCCGCCCTGCGCTGAACAGAACGGGAGCAGATGCACAGATACCGCGGCGTCTATTCTGGGAACGGCGCCACCTGAGCCGGGCGCTGCCACTCAGGCTGGCCCAATCGCTCCATCTGCAGCCCGGGAATGAGCTGTCTCCAAGGAATGAGGCAGCCTCTGCATCAGCCCCTGGAGCCGCCTCGTCTCCGCCGCCCGCTCCTTCCTGACAGGCAGGGACGAGGCAGAGACGCGCCTCCCGCCTGCTCCCCGCACTCCATCAGGCCCTGGCCCGCACCGCCCCGCGCAGCACGCACAGCGCCCGCCTCGGTTTACCCTGTCATCCTGCGTCCGTGGACACACCCAGCCCCCGGTCAGCCCCGCGCCAGACCAGGCCCTCCAGCCTTCAGAACGGGCAGTGGCATCTCCTCGACCAATGGCTTCCCACTCCCCTAGCCGCTCCTGCCACGAGCAGCCTGGAGCTGCCCCACTGACGACCAGGGTGGACACTGACCCTCCCACCCACACAGCACCCGCAGACGCCGGGGCAGCTTGCTGGCCCCTGCCAGTGAGAGGTGCGAGTCTCTGAGCTCGGAGGTGGTGGAGGTGCCGACAGGGCTTCTGCAAGCAACTCATGAGCTCACAGACACACCAACAGCCGCCAGGCTCCCTGCAGCCCTGCACCGGCTGCTGTGAGCGGCCTGACAGCCTCGTTTTCCTTGAAGACAAGATCGCCCTCTGCTGGTCCCAGGGAGCTGCACACTCCACAAAGTCAAGGCCCGACTGCTCAGAAACTCACCTGGAAGTCACAGGCCTCCACCCCAGGGACTGGGCACTCCCTGTCCCAGCCCCTCTACCTCCTCATCCTCAACTCCAGGGCCTGGTGAGGAAGGAACCGGAAGGCACCAGAGCCCAGCCTCTCTGCTCAGAGGGCTGAGCTAGGGCCAGAGACTTTGCCGCCCCACCAGCCCTCACCCCACTCACCTCCCTCCGGCGAGGCCCCTCGGGCTCAATGTCCAGCTCCTGGGATCTCCGCAGGGCGGTTTCCAGCTCAGCCTTCAAGTCGATGGCGGCCTCCAAGTGCTGGCCACGTGCACCTGCGCGGGTGAACAGCTGCCAGCAAGGGGGCGTCACCCGGCAGGCTGGGCACCCTCCCCGCACTCCCCGCAGGCACGACCCAGGCGCAGCCTCACCTGGACCCAGGTGCGCACAGCCGGTAGGAACTTGTTCTGGATGAGCTTGAGCGCGTCCCGGGCCGACTGGATGACAGCGCAATTGTCCTCGTCCTCCTGCACCCTGAGGCTGCCTGCAGGGGGAACAGGGGTCACCAGAGGGACCAGGGCCCCGGGCAGGTCACCAGCACTTCCGCCCATCCCACTTCCATCACAGATCCCCTGGGACCCCAAACTGACGCCCAAATCTGCTGCTTCACGATTTTGGCAAAGACCAGGTCAGCCTGACCTGATGCTCCTTCCCCTGGACCCGAGACCTCTACGGCTTCCCACAGACAGACAGGCCCGGCCATCCACCGCCGCCCCCACTGCCTCAGGGTGAAGGCCGGCTCCTCCCTGTGCCCAGCCAGTCCAGCTGCCACCCCCACCTCCCACCCACTGCCAGCTCCCTGCCCCCGGGCACAGGTGGGCAGTTCCTTGGGGCTCGCCAGGCTCTGAGTGAGGGCGTGCGTGTGAGGACGTCCTGCGGCTCCAGCAGGGCTGCCCTCCTCCCAAGAACACATCTGAAGGCCAACCCCACTCACACCCACGAGGGCGGACGTCGGGGCAATGAGGAAGCTCGGCGGAAGGGGGGGAATCGGGGTGAAGCCGTGAGGCTGGGACACCAGGGCCCCGTGGACTCTGGGGGCACCACCTGTATCTTTGCAGATACAGCGAGAAGCAGCTTCTCCATCTCGTTTTCCTCCCAGGCCCAGCGGCCACCCTGTGACCCCGATGGACTGGGCAGCAACCACAGCCACCACGAGGGCGCAGGGCAGGCCTTGGACGCACAGCCTAACCCCGCCCTGGGGCTGAACCCTGCTCTCAGCCCCAACGCGTCTGGGCTGTCAGAGTGCCCGAGGGCCCTGGCCAGAGGCCTGGTTCGGGCAGCCACCTGGGCTGCGGCCACGAGGGAGCTCCGAGCAGCAGGAGCGGGTACCTGAGAGCTCCACATCCAGCGTGTACTTGTGGGAGCCCAGCCCATGGCGCCGCACAAAGTCCTCCTGGTCGCTCTCCTCCTCGTCCCCCGAGGCCCCCGTGGTGGCCACTGGGCGGCGGGC